CAAGAATACATTTCACCAACATGGAAAGTAGATTACAAGAAAGGAAATCTTTGCTGCCCTTGACATCTTTTCATGTTGCGTGCTGGGAAAGTTGCACTTTTCCCTATAAATAAATTTGGTTCTACATTTCAGCGCAGAAGCCCAAGGAAAGCTTTCATTATTCAGTTAACTTTGCCCGAACAATTCCAGATGTTAAGTTATAGTCTTATACAAATTCCCTCCCAAACCCTGTTATCATAACTGTACTCTTTTTGTAGCCCCGCATTACAACACAATAGCTAAGTTGCTCCCCTGAAGATGAATTGAAATCAAAGGTACCACTTGCCAATATCTACTCCAGAACAAAAATTAAGACATTTCCCCTAGATGGTTGAGCCACGAGATCCTAAGCCTTTATTTTTAAGAGTCAACATCGATACTTAGATACTGCCACTTTATAATCCCTTTTAAGACCACACCCAGAATACTGCATCCAATTTTGGTCACCACAATATAAAAAAGATCTTGAGACTTTGGAAACAGTGCAGAGAAGAGCGACAAAAAGGATTAGAGGGGGTGAAGGCTAAAACATATGAAGAATGGCTGGAGAAATTGCATATTGTCTAGTTTAGGGAAAAGGAAGAATAGGGGTGTCATGATAGCCTTGTTCCAGTATTTGAGGGACCGCTACAAAGAAGAGGGGGTCAACTTATTTTCCAAAGCATCAGAAGGCAAGATAAGAAGCAATGGATGGGAAATGAACAAAGGGAGAAGCGACCAAATTTCCTGACAGTAAGAACAATCAACCAGTGGAACGACTTGCCCCCAGATATGGGTACTTCAACAGTGGAGGATTTTAAGAAGAGACTGGACATCCATAACAAGCAAAGGTCCATGTCCATTACTGAAATCAATCCCTCCCAGGATTAGGTCCTTGCTGTTTTGCCTTTAATAATTGAGAAAATGAAATATAAGAAAATGCTGGATAGCAGAAAGGTGGGACTAGACGTGAACCATAATGTTCTTTAAACCATCCAATGCATCATTTGACTAATTGGCTCTCTTCAAACATTAAATTCAAGAGTGAAAGCCATACCTCCCACCCACTCAACATTTCCAGAATACACATGAAACATAAATCTTGACTGGGGTTGTGTCCAAGACACATTTGTGCATTTTTTAAAACAGAACATGAGATCAGCAGGGTTCCAAAAGTCACTGCCATAATTAACAAGCTGTAAAGTGTTATTAGCATCTGACCTGCTGGTTATTAAAGAAGGGATAACCATAAAAATCCCATAGCCTTTACAGTTTACACTGCTGTTCTGTTAGAGGAAAAATACTAATCACTCTGTTTTTGAAGTAACTGATATTATGTAGACAAGGGAGAACATCATCAAGAGTTGGCACAGATAATGGCCTCAGTGGGCACATTCTGGGCACTATTAAAGGCAGCAAAGTGGAAAATGGGTCCATTTATGCATGTACATTTTCCTATCTTTTTAGTCCTCTCAATTGGATGCAAGTGTAACGTTCTGATAAATTAGGGATTCATTAAAAGGGTGGGTAGCGTTTGATTTTTCATCTCCACTAGCAAACTGGGTTGAGCCACTGTGAATGATGTTTATCCAGTCTAATTATCAGTTTTATGTGGTTCAACTGAATTTGCAGGCCTACTGAGCTAAAAATCCAAATCGTTTCTTTCTTCACTCTATGCCAAAGGTCTCCAAACTTGGCAACTTTAAGACTTGTGGACTTCAAATCCCAGAATTCTGGGAGTTGAAGTCCACAAGTCTTAAAGTTGCCAAGTTTGGGGACTCCTGCTCTATGCAGTGAAACTTTTCACCACGTTTATGATGCTGCAAGAGGGCAGATCAAAATCAATGTCAACAAATGATTTGTAGCTGTAGATAATTACTACCTCGGTTCTTCCTGATCTTTGAGACTCCGATGATATATAGATATCTTAAAAAGAAAAAAAATGATGGAAGCCAAACCGAAATTTATTCCTACACTCCAAAAAAAAAATCAAATTATAATGCCATTTATAATGCCAAAAGACATTAATACAGTTACTGATCATGAATGAATAACAAACACTAAAGCACCTAGCCATTTCTAACATGAATTTCCAAGTTATTAATCTATATTTCCTCTAATGTCAAACACTAAAAAAAAAAAAATCTAAAGGAAAGTTACCGTATCCATTGGAAACCAGAAAATGAAGGGGAAGTGGGGTGGAAATCACATCACGACTCTTCCAAACAAAGCTGAGGCATCTAATTTTAGATAGTATAATCTCCTCCTTACTCAATGCACATTCAATTACAGAATATAGACCATCCTCACTCACAGAGAACAGTAAACAAATGAGTTAAGCTAACCAATCAATATTGCATTTCCTGGAAGACTGGTGAAAAAAATGAGTATTGGGGTCTCCCTAGAACCCCCAAATTGTTACAGAGCTCTGGACAAATTCTCAATCCTTTATTATATTGGCCATTCCTAACACGCCTTCTAATACTGACACTTGATGTTCAAATCTTTATTACTGTCATAAATCAGCATAGACACTTGATACTGAAATTTTGAAAGGTGTTCGCAAAAGCTAGTTGTCAGGTTTCCAAGTATTAACCTGCTTCCTCCCAATTTCCCAGTTCCCAATAAAAGCAATTTTCTACCCCTGAACTTTACCTTGTGTATCTCACTCTCCCTCTTCCACCAAATTTTATCCTTCCTTCCAATGTAAATTCAATTTGTAGCAAATAGTTTCCTCCTCCACATATTTCTCACATTTAAATATATTCTCCGAAGAAGAAAATATTTTTGGACATGAAAGTTCACATGCTATCTGGTTAACCTTACAGAATTAGAATTCAGTTTCTCCTGTGAACGTGTTTATAAAAGACCAAAAGAGGTACCTAATGCTATAAATACAGCCATTCCAAATGCCTGTCATTGTGCTGTTCACACAATCATAACAACTCAAGCAGTTAAGCTCCCAGCTCTATTTTCCAATAGCAAACATCCACGTGTCGGATTACTAATCCTATGTAAGTCACCTCAGAGAAAAAAATAACCTTTTTTTTAAAAAAAAAAATCATCCTAAACGCCAATCTGAAAATACCACCACTACTACTTACAACCAGTAATAATCCTGTACTAAAAATACTATCAAAGAAAATCTTTTTTCAACCTCTGCTTCAGTCTCCCGTAATGAAAATCAAGCATATTTATTTCTGTTTCAACGCAAAGCAAGAACTGCTTACCTAATTTCTCAGGTCTGAAAGTCGGAGTAATTTAAGCATTTGTGCTATATATCCCAAGAAAGTTAAGGATTCTTCTTGTACACGGCAAAATGTCAATATTCTAAACTGTTTTTATCTTCCTTTACTGAAGCATGTGAATCTTCCGCTTCTTTACAAACAGAAGACTCACGCCCTTCAATATAAATGAAATAGGATATACGCAGTAAACATTTAATTATCATTCTACGTACAAGGAATGTGATAGATGTAGCCAGCCTATAATTATAATGCTACATAAATGGAACCGGATATATACCGGAGCTGTTATGTTTACATGGAATAGGAACACAGACGGCATTTAGCAAAAAGCAAAGCTGGCATTTTCACCCAAATCCTTTTTCTCTGAAAGGGGAGAGCGGCCTCTCCGATTTGATGGCAATAAAATAAAAAGAGGCAAACTAGCTTTCCTGGAGGGGAGGGGAGAGAGGAGGGGAGGGAGGGTCTAAAATGCAGGTTGAGTTTCTTCCCAGGGGAAACTCCAGTGACGGACGGACGGGCATCGACCGGTACAACTGCCCTGCATCGGATTTAAAATGCCTGACGAAATGAGAATTTAGGATGGGAATATTGAGATGAATAAAGCTGGAAGAGGCAAAGTAGACCCACTCTGTTGATGGAGAGTTGGGGGAGTCAGACTATCATAACATCTCCCACCACCAAGTAGGGCAATTCTTGTTCTTCAAGAAGAGGCTGGACATCCTTTTATCCGGGATGGGATAAGGTCTCTTGCCTTGGGCAAGGGGTTGGACTAGAAGACCTCCAAGGTCTCTTCCAGCCCTTTGATTCTACCTCTCACCAGCACATTAGGAGGGAGGTCCATATGGCTTTCCTTTTGTGGGCATCTCCAAAAAAGGGGGAAGCCCCTCCCCTTTTCCCAATGCCCCCCACTCTCTCCCAGGGCTTCCCCCTCCTGGGGAGAGAGGGGGAGGGAAATCAGAATGAATGAAACCAGCCCCCTCATCCCACTCCTATCCTCCGGTTTCTCCTGCTGGGCTTTCCAGGGGAGGGGTGTGTGTGTGTGCACACAGCTCTGGATCGGGCACCTCCAGGTCCTTGTTTGGGGGCGGCAATGCCAACCGTGGGCCAAGCCTCCAGCCTGGCAGGGATGCAGGGGGCGGCTGAGAAATCTGCTTCTCCCAAGGATCATCCTTAACAATTATGATCCCAGTCCTGGTGACATCAACAGCTAATAATAACAACAACAACAACAATAATAGCGACAGCAATAACAACAATACCAAAAGCAAAAATTATAATAGCAATAATAGCTCCTATTAATGGATTATTATTAATAGCTATTAATATTGTTATTATTATTGCTGCTATTATTGCATTATATACACGAAAAACGACAGCGTACGCAGCAAACGAGGTAACTAGTGACCCAGCGCTGTCGTTTTTCGTGTATATAATGCAATAATAGCACAAAATAATAACAATATTAATCATCACAGCAGCTTATGATTGCTAGGTCCATTAATAGGAGGAGCAGCAGCAGCATCCCTAAAGCCAGGAAGGCTCTGCATCCCGGTGGGGGGGGGGGATCGGAACCCCAGTTCTGGTGCCCCCCAACACCATTAACCTCTCCCTCCAGATAATGGGAACCCCCCCCCGCATCGTCAGAGACCTTGGGGAGGGGGTCTTCAGTGCCCCCCCCTCCCGGGAACACCCCCCCCCCTCAACCCGACTCCCTCCGCCGCACGCCCCGCTCACCTGAAGCGCAGGAGGCCCGTCACAACGCCGGCCTCCCGTCACACGCGGCTCCGCCACCAGCGGAACCAGCCGCCGCCGCCGCCGCTGCTGCACCTCGCGCCCCGCCGGGGAGACGCGCGCCCGCCGCCATCTTGGCCGAGGGGAGGTGCGCGCGCGCGGGGGGGGGGGGGGGGGGGGCGTCGGGCGCCCGGGGAACCGGCCCGCCGGGGGGGGGGGGGGGGGGGGGGGGGGGGGGGGCGCCCCTCTTGTTAGGAGGGGTTCAGAGGAAGGGGCTTTCTGTGGGAGGCGCAGCGCTAACCACGAATGCAGGTTAACTAGTTGTAGCTCAGGGATGAAGTGTGGGGTCCTTGGTGTCTCCTGGGCTTCCTTGCAGACGTTTCATGACCCAACGAGGCAACAGCATCAGAGTTAGTGGGGGAGGAGGAGGAGGAGGAGGAGAGGAGGACTGTGGGGTCCTGGGCGCTCTCTGGGCTTGGTGGTTTTC